TATTTATAATTCATTTTATATGAGCCTCATGACAGAGTTAATCAACCTAAAATAGTAATAATCGCTATATTCAATATTATTATTATACGAAACATTTGATTACATAATATTTGAATAGTTGGGAATGGAATAAATAATCTGTGTTAAGTGAATGATATTTACAGTTCAATAAGGATCATTATTATTTTTTATTCCTTGGTATTAGTAGTAGTAGCCACTAATCAAAGAACATTATATAAACAAGATCATGGATCATAATAGAATATTTAGTCAAGAGGTTAATATATGCCAATAGAGATAGAATAATTTGACCTTGAATATATTAAAAACAGAGAATTCTTTAGAGGTTCATAATCAATTACCTACATGATGTATCTCTATTAAATTGTGTTTAACAATCTACTCTTTATATTTTATACAGACATACATTTATAAAATAAATAAAACGGGTCAGATTGAAAGTTACTATGAATTATAAACAGATATGAATATTTAAGTATATTATAATCTAGTTATAAGTTTAATCATAACAACTATGGGGAAAAGGAGAATCGATTAGATAAAAGTAAATCACATTCTAGTGTTATGATTGGTTTCTTTCTTATCTAGACATGAATCACATTATCTTATGGATGGAACAAAGTATTGAAAACAATAGTGGTAATGTAATCATTATAAAAATTTGTGTATGTGTGCACGTACGTATGTGTTATATGATGAAATATTAGTTCACTCACACTGTCTAATTGCATTGGAAAACACTTAGGAAATGCATAATATTAAAATAGAACAAAGTGAAATAACTTACACTACTGAAGGAACTCTAATCCTACATTGACAATATTCTACGAAAGTATGAGGATGTATCGATATAGAAAACAATAAAAAGTCGAATGCACTGGAAATTTGTATATTTTAAACTAACTCAAGTTCATCACAGGCATCCATAATATTTAATACTGATTATCTAAAAAATGAATTATTATTCGCTTATTTGACTATTATCGGAATGGGTTTTGTGGAGATTTTTAGAAATTTCGCAGGTTGAAATCATGGGTCAATTGAAGCTAGACCATCATGGAAAACATGAAAGCACTGGACGGCCATTTCGTCCTAGTATGGGATTCCTCAGCAGTGAGCATCCACGATCCCGCGGGATTCGAACCCAGGACCTACTGGTTTCGCGCGCGAGCACTTAACCATTAGACCACTGAACCGGCATCCAACGGTGTTAATGTCTATTATCAGCTAGGAGAAAAAATATTTCTAGACAATTCATAGTTTGCCAATAATTTCGAGTTGATAATTAATTATAGGACATCAAAAAATGTCAATCAGATATAACAATAAGCTTAACTCTAACATCAAACTTTAAGAGATGACAGTCTATAGTAAGTGAAACGAAACTTTGTTGTATGGTCACAATTCTCAGCGAAAGTATATAAATCCATTGAATGGAACGGTTAATAAATTTTTTTAGGTTAGCTGGAACGGTGGCTGACTTAGTAAGTAACGTATGAATATACATCAATACTAGTGATTGTTTTCCTTTATTCAGGTATCCTTCCTTATAATATACATTGAGTCAATTAAACAAAAATTAAAATGTAGGATAAGAGAGAGACATTAAATCATCATTTACATCTTTATCTTCTCAGTAATATAAGCATTGAAATGAGATTAAATCCAAAGCTGTTAAAACTATTGAAACTCTAAAACTCGACAAAGAATCACTTTAGGTCCATCATCAATATTTATACAAAAATTTAGAACTTTTTATGATATCCACCATGTTAGTAAGTCATGTAAGGAGGGCAATAGTTTCAGTGTTACCTCATATTCGTTCACAAATAGACATATAAAGAGACTATTGGATTCAAATCAAATTGTATAACTCATTAAGTGTAAACTCGACTTAATGCTACACCGTAAATGAAAACCGGGAACACTACTCGGTAACTCAAACAGAATTAGGAATTATGATATTTGGACTTTCAACTCGAATAGCTGAAACCATGTGTGTGCTTTAACAATAAATTAACAGTTGATCTTACTTAACAAATATCCATGACACAAACTAAATATGATTTGTACATATTAAAAGCTAGTTAAATGTAAATCGATTTTTGTTGGTCAACACAAACATGGGATCTAAAATGGGACAGTGAAATCATGTCTACCTCACCTTACCCCCCCCCAAAAAAAGGTAGTATAGTTTGTTCAATGAGAATGATTTACTATTCTAATCATTCAACCAAACTACAAAGCTTAAAATAGTATTTTACAACTGTAATGTATGATAGAAACTATTTTTAGCTTAGCTTAAATGGAAATAGTGTAGGTTTATATGTGTATATGATTGTTTTTAGTTATTTAACGAAAATGTATGTCTATCTGCATATTTATAACTAGTGTATTTCATACCTTCAAGAAAATTAAAAAAACGAGACAAATCCTGTTATTTTTTAGTTTCGGTTTTCGAGTATCGATCCCCTAGTAATAATGATGACGTTGCAATGATATATATGGCAAACTAAGAAAGAGGCTTTACCGATTATCTTCGACGCAAAAAGGTTTCACAAGGTGATATTTGATCGGCAATTTGATAAGTCTTGCTAACTGAACGCTAGACTTGTTCCTAAACTCTTCTAGTAACCCCCGGGCTAGATTTACACAGCGGTGTGAACACGAGAGAAAAAGCGAGAAATATGTGAGAAACACTTTACTCCAAAGGTTCGTTTTTGTACAGAAAATATAGGGGTTTTATAGTATTTTAGATGTGCTCGGGTTTCCCGAAAATTCTGGAATGTTACTAAACATAGTAGCAGTATAAGTAATCATCTAATCAGAAACTCAACAGGTGACTTTTCACTTTCTTGATGTTTCTGGCAAAACTTCTAGTGAACACTGATTGGATAAGTGTTTTGAGAGCCTTTCTTGGCTTTTTTCGAGAAGTTTTCTGGATCTCCCTAACGCAATCCACTCTATTAACAGACTATAAACCGTTACGTGTTGTATTTAGGTCGAAGAAGGGATTTCCTGCTCACACGGCTAACTGGCTACAACGATAGGGAACTACACTTATGGTCCACGATTTTAAGATCAAGTACCAGGTGACTACAACTTTTGGACAAGCTGATGCCTTGTCCAGATTGATAGATTTTCAGACAAAAAATTCAGAAGACACTGTCGCGGCAAACATAGAAACCGAAAAAGAAGTTCGTCGCATATTGGATGATGTAATCGATGGACTATCGGTTTTTTTTACAGCTATCATAGAAACCACTGAAAATGACAAGATATTAAGAGAAGTTAAAGGTTATCTTCTTACTAGATGGTCGAAACGTCGTTTTCAAAGAGAAATTTGCAATAGTTTCGTTGATTTCACTCACTGATGGTTGTCGGCTCATGTGTTATGTTGTGATCAACCAAACTACTATCTCAGAATTACTGAGCCAAAAAGTTCCTAAGCAACTTCACAGTGATCACTCTATGATTAATGAGATGAAATAGTTGGCTTGATCCTACGCTTATTGGCCTTCGATGGACAGAGATATTGACGTAAAATCTCATAACCGTTCATTTTACCATCAAGTTGTTAAAAACCCTTCGAAATATAAACCCCAGCAATGGCCCAAACCTGTTAGACCCTTTGGAAGGCTTCATACAGATTTCGCTGGTTCGGTTTAAGGAAAAATGTTACTAATTACGTTGGATTCATTTACAAAGTGACTAAAAAAATATAATGTCAAACTATACAGTCGAACAAACCATCAAAAAGTTATCTGCTTTGTTTGATAGTGCAAACAACTCTGCGATGTGAATGGAATAACTCACGCTGTCCACCCTATCATCCTCAGTCTAAAAGATAAGTTGAACGCTTCATGGACATCTTCAAAAGAGTACTGAATAAAGGGAGAGATGTGAGGACGTCCAGTCAATCAATCACTATGTTCTTAACACCTAACAGAACAAACTCCAACCCATTTTGTCTCAGAAGAAAAGTCACTAACCAAAGTCATGTTTGCAGAAGCATTCGGATGAATTTCAGCGCTATGCTACCACCCAAAAAGGTGAATGGCCAAATAAAAATATTCGCGATTTCGACGTAAGGGAAGAGTATTTGACAAACCAGGGCCGAAAATGATGGGAACCAGGGATAATTGTACAAAGAATGGGAAGTTTTGTATACAGTGCGAAGAGCCTTCGGAACATGTATTAAGGATACGAAACAAATTCATAAAGATAAAAGTACGGACGCAAAGAGATGACATCCAACAAGAACCCGATAGAACGTTTTAGAATATCAACGTGTCATGCTGTGTTTGAACAATCATATAACTTCTTGTTTGTGGATTGGTTGGATTATAATGGTATGGCGTATACTAAAAACCATAAATACCCCGTTTTTCTGTACAATTTGATACTTAATAAGCACTTTTTCTTCGTTTTTTTGCAACTGAGGGTTCTACGCGTTTGACTCCCGACAGCCATATACTGCATCAGCCGTCATCTAGTAGAGAACATAACACACCTAATATTAATATCGGTACGTTTCCTAAATAATTTAGTTGTACTTGTTAGTTAAATCAACTTGACTTCGTGATATTGTAGATTGTATGTATACATTAAATTACTGATCGATCAATATCAAGTAGTGCCCCGGTTGGATTGTATTTGAATTGGACTACTAGATAGGTAATCATATCATATATATCTCACCAATTTTCTAAACAGTTCTAATCGTTTATGAATCAGCGGTTGGTGGATAACAAACTATTTATCTGCAGTGTCACTGTTTTTCCATGAGTCGAGCAGTGCCAATCTTTGTTTCGGTTATATATTAGGAAATGACGGATGTATCTGCAATAATAGTAAATATCAGTACTAGTATTTCATTAAGTCATTACATGCTTAAAATTAATTTTCCACAGTTATGGTTTTTTCATTCAATGAAAACATAAAAATAGACTTTAACAATAAAGAACCCCGAAACTAACCTCAAATGACTTTCTGAATTCTCGTAAATGTTTGATACGAAATAAGTACAGTCCTTCACCGCGTGGAGCTCGTCTACCTGTTTCCACTTTAAACAAACTATTGCCATAGAAGCCGAAACGACGTAAAGTGACTAACGGCCATGACAATCTTAAAGGTGGTGGTGGAAGACGAGGTTTGACATCTTCAGGGTACCTAAAAAAGTAACCAATTTTTAAGTGTCAGATAGCACTGGTTAATATTTACCAATAACTAAAAAAGTTAATCTTGGCCGCAGTAAATAGCACTGGATAGTATGTTACTGAATATCAGAAATTCAGTCTCATTTGTTTTTCACATTAGTTTGCATTCAATAAAATGTACAAATAGAACTTTGATTGAATTGATGTGCCCCAAAACATTCTACTTCACACCACTAAGTGATAAAATAAGAAACGCTATTATAGAACTGACAATTTTTATTGGGACAAGTGGGGTTCAGACAAGTTAGCTGGAATAAACGTTGAAATTATGTCAATTTCAATCGCTGAGATTATTTCAAATATTATTTTCACATATAATGACTTCCCTATACTCGGCGGCTAATTTCTGTTAAACTATTCGTTCTAATCTTGATGAATATTCGTTAAAAGGTCAATTCGTAACACATGTAGATGTCATATACGTATGATAGAAGACTTACCAGGAAACATATCACAATAAAAATAGAAACATTTGGCTTAATATTGTATATGAAATGAAGTTAAAATATGAAATACATCTGACAAATTAAAAAATCCGGAGATAATATTATTTGATTTTCAAAAAAATCAAAACGCTACCGCAAAGGTTCGGTTTGCAATAATTTTATTGATTTATTTAAACACATAAACATTGGTACAAGGAAGCACCAAACAGATATGAGCCACATAAATCATTCGATGTTTGTGAGGGTTAGGATACTGTCCGGGTGCTAAAATCGAACCACTTGATTTTCTTAGGGGGCCACACTCCGAGCCTTTGACCTAAAGGTCTAATCCACAAGGTAGTGGAGCAACGTCACGAGATGCAGTCCCATAGTAGCCGGTGACTAACCATTGCTTCGTACACAATTTGTTTCTGTTGTGACTTTACGTCCAGCTAGTTATCACGTGATTTATCCACCAATCAAAATACGACTTATACAATCGTAGCACCGTGCTAAACCAATGACATTCGATCAGTAAGAGCAGCCTAGCGTCCTTATTGGTCCTATGTTTGCCTAGCCCGTCCACTAGAGTACAGAACACCAATATCAGCTTCCATTATGCGAATCGAATCGAATCATTGATTTCAGAAATACTGGGTTTATATATCAACCAAAAAGACCGCAACGCACCATAAAATAGAAAATAACATTTGTACACAATAAAGACAAAAAGTGGCTGTGAACGTGGGAGGAAGTAGTCAATAAACTGAACATATCTTAAGAACAGTAAATCGTACAATAATATATAAGTCAAAATAAAGCTTATAACAAGGGAAATATAGATATACATAATTTAGTTACTAAATATTTATACCATGAGAATATATAAATAATATTAGTCCATTAATAGGTCTCAGACGTTACTCGTAATGTAATCTTCATTAAGATATAAGTTTCTTTAGAATCCTGTAGTCCATGTACACCATTGGTTTGGAATCAAGGTTTTCCAACTCTCCTAGGTGGATTCTCCGTATCCGCCGACTCGGTTAGAGTACCGGACATTCGCTTTCTATCCTCTCACTTTCGTAAAAAACGCCCCCGCCGCAAGAAGTCAGTGAGTAGGACTTCCTTGGCAGTGGCTGTATACGCGTGGTCATGTGAGAGCAGGTGGGTAAGGAGAGTTGACTCTCCTCATTTTCGACCCTACCAGGGAATTTGGGGGTGGTTTAAAATAAAACAAAAATTCACTAAAATATAAATGAATAAATATGTAAATACCGATTGTTTCTTACTTTATAAAGAATTTAAATTGGACAATCAAAAACACTGTCGAGTATTAAGCTCTGTTGTTGATGTCGAAATAATTGATTACAATTTTTTTAAAGAAAAACTAGGATGAGAAAAGGTCAGGACTATGCTATTCATTAGATAATGTTGTTAACACGGTCATTAGATTATTTACTTCATGTTCACTGACGTGTAAGATGTACACGATTTCACAAACTTTGACCTTTAGTTTTTTTATAAAATAAATTGACCAATTTATAATGATTATTCTTAAGAATAATTTCTTGTGTATTCGTGATACCGCCTATTAAACCACTATATATATATATATATATATAATAGTGTTACTAGATGACAAAGTAGGACCATCTATAGCTGGATGAAATAGTACAACAGTTCCAATTATCTACCTGTTACGGATATTCTATAATAGATAGACAACCAGTAGGAAAGATAAACAATAAAGGTGAATGTTACAAAACGCATGAGAAGACGAAAAATAAACAAATTGAAGTAAGATAAAATGACAAATATTTAGATGAGAAATAAAAGTGCATTTCTCGTGGTGATCAAAAGTCAACTACAAGCAAGCACACCTTTCTTACAAACACTTTATAAATTAGTAATACATCTTAATCTGACAAATGACAATTTTGCCAGCCTGTTTTCATTGGGGCCAACAGTATTTAGAAAAGCAGATGATAAGTTGAAATTACTACGATTTACTTCGCATGTTTCTTTCTTAATAGGCGTATGCATAGGACTTGATTTTCGACCTGATGATAAACAGTTGACGAATATCAAACATTTTGATATTTTAGGCTTTTCGCCCAACAAGTCTAATATCTTCTATGAACTATGGGTTGTTTCAAAAACATTTTGCGAATTTGGACATGAATTGGTAACAATGATAATGTTATGATGTTTCTTTTGTTTATTATTAATCTATTTGAACACATAAATATTGGTACAAAAGGACACCAAATACATATGCGTCACACAATAACAATGGGAATGAGAAGAGATAGAGAATGTAAAGTGTGTATAAGAAAAAGGAGAGCGATAACGAACAAAAATTAGTGTATGACAGTATAGTAATAATAATAATAATAATAAGAAGAAGAAGAATGGGAGAGGTAGTTCAGTTAGCAAAGGTACAACCAGTAAGAATTCTCCCAGCTAAAGAAGTCACGCTCATTTTTTATAAAGAAAGTAAAAGAAAGTGTTATATAGAGCTTAAATTTTTTGATATACCACGTACAACTTGAGGACTCGAACGCTAGAACCCTCCAAGTAGTAAATGAGAAGACAAAAGACGAGTGAGAAAGAATGTTATTCCAAAAAGTGTCAAATATGGTGCGAAACTCTCAGGTATTTATAGTTTTTACGTAAAGCGAAATCATCATTACAGTCATCCGATCTGCATATAGTGGTTTTTAAGCTTTTGCCCAACAAGGAAGCTACCAGCCGAGATTCTGGAATGTTCTTCCAAAAGATGATTGGGTGGAATGACTCCGGCTTTTTCTGAGCGTCTTAGAGCTTCCTTGAGTTCACCCGTGGGCCGTCCTCATAGAAAGTTACAGCAGGATCGCCACTGGCTTCTATTTTGATCCATATCTGATAACGTCTCTAGCCACTGTGTTGCACCATCTCTCGAACCCCAACAAGAATTCGTGAAGGATCAATAGAAGCCAGTCCTGTACAGCTTTCTTTCATGCCACGACACCGTGTCAAACATTGACTATCTCTCCGCCTTTTCCAACTAGTTCCAGCGTCGAAAAATAATGCACGACGTGGAATTCTCTGGGATGACATTCGTAGAACATGTCCAAGCCACCGAAGTCGATGTTTCAAGATAGTGACAACAATTGAATTATCGTTGCTGTGCCTGAACACACGATGCCGAACCTCTGCATTACTAACATGGTATCGCCACTGGATGTCAGCAATTTTTCGGAAACAACAATGAATAGACACAGAGAGTCGTCTAACATTCTCAACTCGGAGAGACCAGGTTTCACAAGCATATTATTACAACCCAACTACTCTTATTGTTCAGTATTCTTTGGACACTTTACTGCACTCGACAAGTCCTCAAATCAGAACACTGCTGAACAAGAACGTAATTACATTCTAAATAAACACAAAAGGATCGGAGTAAGAATCACAATTAAGAAAAACGTTAGTATATTTATAATTTCACGAGAAGATTCTAGAGTCTTCTCCAAGAATTCGTTAGCGCTGACAGGCTAAGAAATGATCGGTCAGCCTGCCTCAACACAATACTACACGGAACATGCTTTAATCCAATATAAATTCCGCCAACAGATAACCAATGAAGAATAAAAATAACAGATTCATACGATAAATGTGAATTACACACATATTACAGAGACAGATATAGATGAAAAAATTACCTGTTTGTCGATACATAAGGATTATCCACTAGTGAAGCTGAACATTTCTGTCCAACCGTATCTGAATTCCCCAAATGAGAACCATTTTCAAGAAATGAAGAAATCGGTAATGGACGCTGAACTGAGCAATGCAGTTTCGGATTGTCAAGGAATCGTTCTCTATTAGTTTCTAATGTTAATTTATCAAAAAAATATGTACATATGCTTAAGAAACATTGTATGAACAATTGAAATACGCAACTTTATTCTTTTAAAAAAATTATTTTTAGAAAAACCAATCTTGTTTGTATGGGTCTTGCATTAATGGATTTTGGATAACTTAATAAATTTTATTGGTTTGCATAAAAAATGGAGGACCGATTTATCATTAAGTCTTCTATGCATTATTACATTTCATTAAAGGAGTGCACACGACTAAATTGACAAATGCCGTCTGTCCACGAAGTAACTTGATAGCCGATCCTAAGTTAGTATACTAAGCCATGAGCTACAAAATACAGGTAAAGATTCGTTCGAACCTACGGGTCAGCCGTCGAAAAAATAGATGTTTAGACTAATAAGACAAAACCAAACCCACCTTTACTGCTAAAGCATGAATATATATATATATATATATATATATATATATATATATATCACCAAAAGAAGCACAATAGATTTATATATTTATTTATATATCTTTCAGTCAGTCAGTAACAACGTAGAACCTCGTACGTACGTACATCAGTTCAAGTTGCCATACCACATTAGCACAGAGATGCAGTTGTCGATTCGAATCCCGTAATGGTAGAGGTAGTAAGGGTATAAGTAGTAATTGGAAAGATTATGGTTTGAAGATGTACTTCTTTGGTACTCTTTTCAGTGACAAACACTGCTACAGAACTTCACGATCAAGAGTCAAATGCCGCCTTAAGGTCAAGAAACGCTGCGATTATGGGGTGTCTGAATGTGTATCTATGTTTTAAGACCTGACGTAGTATGAATATCTGGTACTGAGATTTGAACCTAGGCTTTCCTGAAAAGTAATCAGATTGATACAACTATGCCAAATAGATTGCTAATGAATTACATAAATAGCTACTAATTAATATGGGTTTTTTGTCAAACGAAGATTGATGTTATCTACAAGATCAATGGTAATTTTAATATAACAATCTAGAGATCAATACCTGCTCACTAAATATTCCAGCCAAATATGTTGATAACTTGAAGTTTGTAAATTCACTTTAATAATTTCACATACAGAAACTACAATTATTTGTAACAATACAAAGTGATTACTGAAACAATATTTAAGATACTAAGACGACTAAGAATCAAAATGTTTAGAATCATAATTCGGCGAATCATTTATTCTTCGTGGTCATGATGTTATAGTAAGTTGATGCATTGTCACTATAGTGAGACTTACGATGAAATATTGGAGCAACACAGTCGCTAGTTGGTCCCAGCATTTGTTGATCGATGAGCAGAAATGGAACATGTGACCTCTTGCTTACAGCTTGGAAAACCAAATTCCCATGTTCTACGAACAAACACCCGTTAATATGACAACCTTCAAGTTCTGTATACTGAACTAAACTTGAATTACGAATATCCATAGTAGAAAAAAAGTCCTTCAATGTGGATTGGTTTTTTGTGGTGTCAGAATGTCGAAGCAACGTTGAAACTTGTGACCGTGTTGGGGCGCAGGAACGCTTTGGTAATGTGATCAGTGGAGATCCTACTGAGTCAAAATTACCTTCAGTTTCAGTACAGTGTGATTGAGTTGCAGATAAAGCTGTGAAGTCTCCATGTATACGGATTTCTTTCATCTGATTTGAATACAATCTTCCCAGCCAAATACCACAGAGCTCAGCAGGATAATGATCTTCCAAACGTGACGTGTGAATATCCTTTGTACAAACATCATTGTAAGCAGACCCACAAAAACGACAATGACGAGTTTCTGAATTCTTCTGAAGAACAGAATAACCGCCTGGTGTATCTATTAGTGAATTTATAGCACCCATGAACAGTTGCCTAGAAAATCAAAAGAAATAATATAGTAGGACGATACGTGGAGTGTGACATTTAACTAGATTTCACTACTTAAGACACGGACTTGTAATATCTAGTACTATGTTACGCCCATACCAGTTATTCTAGCTTTCGGACAGACCAATTAACTCATTCTTCTCAAGTTACTGTTAATACCATATTTTTACCATGTCGATTAATCACATATAACCTTGACTTTTTATGTGTATTTGTATCGCTTACCCTATTCATGTATATTAAGCCTACTTTGCCTGGCTGTAAATAGTGAGTTACGCCCAAGCAAATAAAGCCGGCACACTTCTCTGTCTCGCCTTGACGCTTCCCATTTCTGTGTTTGCCTGAGCAAACAAAAGCCTGAAATAAACTCATCCAGCAACCCATACTTAGCTTCTCATTACGGCGGTCACACAAGCGGGGTTAGCACTTGGTTCAAACTATCTGGAACATTCGGTCATATAAATAAAAACTTTGAATGAGGCAATAAATTCAAAAATATCTGCGGGCCAGAAAGATTGATATAAATACTTACTTACCAATCAAGTTGCGAAATTCGCCTTGATTAGAAAAAGGCGGGTGTGGCAAATGTTGGGATACAACTAATTATAACGAATATCATTTCAGTTGATGAATTTAAAACTCAGGAATACCTGTTGTATTTCTTGTTTCACTGATGTTTTTATGTAATGATATCCACTTGCTGTTTAATTGTGCATTTTAATTACGAAATAATATCAGTGTCCCTGGTTCAAATGGCTACGGAAGGGATCGAAGCATTTGATTGATGGGCTTCTACATCTAAAAGCAAGAGATCAGCATTACCTCCGGTTACGGACCTAGGTGTATTTGACAGGTAAAAAAGAACTATTAATAAGTCATAATGGGTTTATAGTGCAGTGGGATGTCACTGGTCCCCAGACAAATAATTCCAACAGTGGGATCACCGATCTTCGTCAAAGTCAAGAACAAGAATCGCGCATCAGCTAATTTCACACCATGAACCGGCCCATGAAGCAGTGGTCGCACACTGTTGTTAGGTTTGAAGCTTCACGAGTTCACTTAACTGCGAACGAGAACAATACTCAGTGACCAAAGACCAGTAATCTAACTATTGACGCGTCCCAGCCCCGCTATCTAGAAGGAGAAGTTCAGGCTTGATATGGTAAATATATTCTGCAAACAGCCAGAAAAACGAGAGAGCAAGAAAGCACTCAAACACAATTTAAAACGTATATATATATGGTGGTTCTTGGGCACATGAGACCGTGGATCGTCCTCGATTTCCTTCCCATCAGGATCTCTGCCGGGGACTTCTGCTGTGGTAGCATATCACTAGGTGTTGTTCGGTAAACAAACAAGAAATTCTGCAGTGTTTCTACTGGCGTCCCCTCCCCTTTCGACTTCATTAGAGCTCTCTTGAATGTATCCACAAATCTTTCTGCCTGGCCATTTGACTGTGGGTGGTAAGGTGGAGAGCGAAAATGCTTGGCCGATAAGCGTTTGCAAAATTCTTGAAATTGACTTGAGGTGAATTGCGAACCATTATTGGAAACGATTATATCCGTTGCGAGAGAACATCTCTGTCAAAAGTTGTATCGTTTGAGTTGTCGTTGGTGGCATGACGGGAACGATTTCTGGCCATTTCGAAAAGGCGTCAACAACGACTAGATAGGTGATTCCATTAATTGAGCCTGCGAAATCGACATGTATCCTGGACCAAGGATACTCAGGCTGTGGCCATGGGATCGGCAGTAATTTCGCGTTAGACTTGGCTGCTTGCTGACACTGTGTGCACTTGCCTACTAAATCCACAATATGTTGGTCCATGAGAGGCCAATAAGCATAGCTTCTGTCGATGGATTTCATTCGTTTTATCCCAGGATGATCAGTGTGGAATTGCTTTAGCACCCTTGTTCTTAGGGACTCTGGCACTACTACTCTATCTCCAAACATCAAGCATTCGTTTACGATACTTAATGAGTCCCGACGGTGGAAAGCTGCTTCAAGTCACCATCGAGTCTATTTGGCGGCCAGCCATTGGTGACGTATTTCACCGCTCTCTTTATGATGGAGTCATTCTTGGATGCAGATTGTATTTCAGATGCTGAGATTGGCAAAGCACGAATAGAGGTTGTCAGGTAACACTGCACTTAGTCCTCTGTCAGTAGGGAGGCAATAACTGCATCTTCGTCGGCCGTGGGGTGTTCGCTGATAAGCCGTACTAGGAGTCAGCCTGAACAAACTGTTGGGTGCGCCGATACTGAATGTCAAAATCATAACCCAGAAGTATCAAAGCCCATCGTTGGAGACGGTTTGCAGAATGGGCTGGAACACCAGATTTCGAACCGAAAATTATGAGAAGAGGCTTGTGATCAGTGAGAAGAGTGAATCTCTGACCGTACAAGAATTTGTGCAAATGGCATACTGAAAACACAAGGGCCAGAGCCTCTTTTTCTATTTGACTGTACTTTCCGCTGAAGTTAATGTGCGAGATGCATGCATAATGGCTTTCTCTGTTGCGTCCGGGAACTGGTGTGAGATGACAGCACCGAGTCCAAAAGCTGAAGCGTCTGCAGCGACATTGATGGGCATTGAAGGATCGTAGTGCGTCAGTAATAGTTCAGAGCTTATGATCGTTTTTAGCTTGCGAAATGCAGCTTCACATTCTTTTGTCCAGTTCCAGCTGGTATTTTTATTCAGAAGATGATTTAGCGGGGCGCGTATGTCATGCATCGACGGAACAGAAACTGAGTAGTAGCTAATTAGTCCCAGGAATGATCGTAGCTCAGAGATATTAGTGGGAGTCGGCATCTATTTTGTAGCTCGGATGTTTTCAGGATCTGGTCTGCGACCTGTAGCATCAATGATGAATCCCAAGTATTTAACTGACTTCAAGAAAAACTGACATTTTTCTGGGCGTAATCGGAATCCCTTATCGCTGATGCGTTGTAGTACAGCTGTCGTGCGTTCTTTAAGATGTTCTAACAATGTGGCAACAATTAAGATATCAAAGAGATAAGTTGCAACTCCCGGGATACCCGAAAGAATGGTATCCATTAGTTGCTGAAGAATAGATGGAGCTGTTTTAACACCAAATGGTAGGCGATTGTACTGAAACAAGCCACGATGAGTATTTATGGTAAGTAACTCTCTCGAATCTTCAGCCACTTCCACTTGTAGATAGACATCAGCGAGATCCAGCTTTGCAAAAAACTTCCCACCATTTAACATCGTGAACAAATCTGCAGGGACTTGCAGTGGGTAGTGATGCTGTTCGATAGCTGCGTTAAGACCTGTGGAAAAATCTGCGCATATTCGGATTGTGCCATTAGCCTTCTTAATAACCACAATGTGTGCTGCCCAGGCAGAATAAGAACCAGGTGTAATAACTCCCTGTAGTTGAAAACGGTTAAGTTCTTTATCAACTTTCGATAATGCTGCGTACGGCACTGGTCTCTTCGAACGGAAGACAGGTTTAGCTCCAGGTTTCAACCGAAGTGTTGCTTTCATAGCAGTGCACTGACTCAATGCAGGCTGGAAAATAGTTGAAAACTCCGTCATTAGTTCTTTCGAATATGCTTCAGGTTCATGAGGTTGTTCCACCAGATGGCATATGGTGCTTAACGGAATGTCAGCTAAATGTAGCCGGTCAAACTAGTCTAATCCAAGTAGATTAAGATCAGCTGGTGTGATGTAACCTAACCCGGTAAACGTCGAATCATGAAAAGACAGTTTACAATCTAGTTGTCCTAACAAACGTAGATAATTACAACATGCGGTTCGCGGTTGTTGTGTTGTCGGCACCAGGCGTGGTTTTCCCATTCTGATCCAATATTTTCGTGAGATAATTGTTACATCAGATGCAGTGTCTATTTGCAATCTAAGAGGGTGCCCATTAATATTGAGGGTAATAAATTTCCTCTCAATTGGGGTTGAGTTCTCACAGCTTGCTATTATACTCAACGAATTCGTGTTGGATCTAGGCGTCGGCTTTCTGGTACCTCTGGAGCTGCTCGGCTTCTTTTTTCGACAAAAACCATCTTTATGACCCACCGCATTACATTTCGTGCACCGACGTTGCTTATATGGACAGTATCGAACAAAATGCCATGCACCGCAGTGCCAGCATGGAGCAGAAGGATTTGTTTTTGTTTGTCGACCTGAACTAAATGTCGCTGGGGCAGATTTATGCGAGTTGCGTTGTTGTTGGACTACATGAACTTCGGTACGATCTGAACCACCACGCTGAACCATCGTAGTGTCACGCTGTAGATTGATTAGACGTTGATATTCATTTGCAATAACATTAAGAGTAAGTTTTGGGTCTTGGTGCAATCGACTTGGCAAACGTGCTCTAATGTCACTGAACTTCTGCGATTGAAGGCTGCAGATGAGAATGAGTGCTTTAAATTGGTCTCCAGTAAGCGACTTCAACCGGAAGCGTTCACATTCTCGGTTGACGATACCCACATGTGTGAGAAAATCATCATATTCGTTCATAGTGAGCTTCAAACATCGATAACGCGCATTGAATAGTGAGGAGTTGTCTCCGAATTGTTGGCTCAATGACTGACAGTGTCGGAGAATGAACGATCGCGTGGGTTTAAAGGAAGGATTAGGTTGCAATACTTGTCTAGTTCACTAGGACCCAACTTTCGAAGCAGAAAGCGGACCTTCCAAGCATCATCCTGATTGGCAAAGTCGAATTTGAAAAAGTCTTCGTAACGTCGAAACCACATATCAAACGTGACATTGGATTTTGGGTCGTAATGAAACTCGGAGATACTGTTAGCGATATCATAAACTGACGGTGCACTAGTAGTAGGATTAGAACTGCTTGGTTGGGAATTAGACGTAAGCTTTGTATCTGCTAACATTTGAATAAGTTTCATCTTCTGCTCGAGTAATAATTCAATTTTAGAAGGATCCATGTTTCCGAAATCACCGTCGCCAAAACTGTTCCTTTAACTTTACTAATAACGTCGTTAATGTTGTGCAGTCATCGAAGTAACTAGTAGTATCTGGATACGACGGAAAGGCAACCTACGTTAGGTAATAACCGTGAGGTGTGACTTTGAAGTCAGCTGGTTGTTTACAGCATTTTCATCAAACTCGAGAAGACCCCAATAATCCGACACAGATCATCTGCCTTGATGATCTACAAGTTCTTAAGAGTATATTGAGTTTCATCATCCAGAACTCCTGTAAAGTTGCCCGGACTGCCTTGACCGTCAGAGGGTCCGGGAATTTCGTACCCCAAACCAGTAGAAATTGTGCGCATGATCTATTTCACTGTGTTTCGCATCCAGTTTCTGGACAATGCTGTCAAGGCTAGAGTGATGACAGAATATTATAGTGTTGGTTATTATGTTGACCCCATATACCTTGTTCTAGCCTTCATACAGGCCAGTCTATTCATCACAGTTGAGTCATTTAATGACCTTGTTAATGG